CACGCTCTGAGCGGGTATATGAGAAGTGGAACAAAATGAACGACCAAGCCTAAACGAGAAGGTGACAGCTCTTTATTTGGACAAATGAGATTTCGCTGAACTTAAGTGTCAGACTGTAACGTGTCGAACCGAAAGTTGGGACGTTTTCGGAAGGCGTACCAGAAACGAAAGCTCCTCAATTTCGTGAGCACCTAAAATAATAATTTAAAAAAATTGAGATGAACGTTAAAAAGATCATGAAACTATTATTTTTGGGGAAAGTTTTGAATATCTCTCCTTTTCGAATACTTCAGATCAAATCGCGAAGGAAAATATTCACGAGTTTCCTATTAAAAAATCGTTTTACATGAGAGAAACTTGGCAACGTTCGAAAGCTCATACTGCGTTTTTCTATAGCACGATATTATGCGCCCGAGCTACGGAAATTAATAAGGCTGTATGATCCTTCCAAAATTTCCAAATTTCCGTAAACAAATCAAACAATTTTTGGAAAACTTGTAAAAATTCTTCAAACAATTTTCATCGCAAATTGGTCTAAGACAACTAAAATTTTCAAAAATTAATATTCATTACTTCCCACCAAAACAAATATTTTACTGGAGAACATTTAATTACATTCAAATGTTCACGCGGCGCTCTATCTTAGCACACACCAGTGGCGTGGCGTGCTTTGCGATATATCGATTGATCGGCCATTTAAACCTATGGAAAAGGATCGATAAACGAGGTGTTCGCAATGAACACCTTAATAATCGATTCTTTACCATAGCTTCAAACGGGGCTTCCATTTTGACGCAATTTTGATGAGCGGAGACAGCGCTTTACGGAGGGTATCCCCGGGAAGCAACAGGTACCTAAAAAGGGGGCGACTCCCGCACTGGGAAAGAATTCGAGGTAGGTGCTCCCGGGGACAAAGACGCTATTATCATGCGTTTCCTGCGTCGGTGGAATCCGGGGAACACCGAGCGATGGATGCTCCTTTCGTGGCATCGCGGTTTCGATTCCGAGCGGAAGTCGCATCTTCACCGCTCCGCTCCACATACCGCCGTTCCGCCTCCAAACCGCGCATCTACATCGCGACATGAGCCCTGTCGTCCGCCCGACTTCGAGCTTTCCGCGGCTCACGTGAACATACGAAATTGGGTTTGTAGATCTACACGACTGGGCGACGATACTATCCGTTGACACCGATGCGGATCGCGCTTAGTTTCCGCGTTTTTTAACCGCTCTTCTGCCCCCCTCCCCCCGCTCCCCCCGGCCAGCCGGCGACGAAATCTATATAGATTAGGCGCATACACTCTGCCAAGCGAGAATCAGGCTAATTGAAAGTGAATTGGAAGCGGCATAGACGTATGGCTACATGCTGTTGGAAATACTTGAACTGATTACTTTTCGAACGACTTAGGTGTCAAAATTTGAAAAACGAAATTTAAATGGATTTGTATCACCTACGAGGCATGGCGAGGCGATATTTCCCTATTTGAAGCTGTGGTATGGAATCGATTATTAAGGTGTTCGTTGCAAACACCCTGTTTTTCGATTCTTTTCCGTAGGTTTAAATGGCAAATCAATCGATATATCGCAAAGCACGCCACGCTACAAAGGTTTAATGGGAGTAATTACGTTTTCAAGGTATATTCTGGTTTACAATATTCAAAATCTGCCACTAAGCAAATGAAAACGAAATATTTTTTGGGGGATTTTCTCAAATGATGTATTAGTCAAAATTTCAAAAATGACATTTTAATGGATTTTTTATAAACCTGCGTGGGTCAAAAGGAATTAATTACGTATTCAAGGTTTATTCCGGTTGAAAAATGTTCAAAATCTGAATCAAATGGAGACTAAAAATTTTGATGGGGCTTTCTTTGGATGATGTAAGAGTCAAAATTTCAAAAACAGAATTTTGTTCAATTTGTATTGCCCATGCAGGCCAGAGGAATGTCATTGCATTATCGAAGTATGTTTCGGTTTAAATGAATCGAAGTCTGCCACAAATCGAGTGGAAATGGGTTCGTGGAATTGATTTTTTCCCCCACAAGACGTAAGCGTCAATATTTCTTTTTACAGTGAGGAAATTGCGATTGCAACGTTTTTTGGGATGCAATAATTTTTGAGTTCTGAATTGCTGTTTAAAAAATTAAAAGAGCGCACATTTTTCGGAATTCTAAAATCAACAGCAGGTTGAATATTACAGTTTTTATCAAAATCGTGTTCGCGGAGCTTCCGTCCTCTGGAAAATAATCTGTTCACTTGGACTCTTCGACGGCTGAAACCATCAACACCCGCCGTTAATGGTAAAACAGCACAATAATTCTCACGATTTAGTACTTTATTCGAAACAAACTAATGATAAACGTCATCAAATGAGAAAGTTTGAGCTAGGATACTGCCCAATGCACCGTGCATAAAACAGCGCCCTAAAACTTCTCCACATGTGCCATCCATTAATGTTTTTCACGTTTTGTCCGTTTCAAAGTTTGGTGGGAATAAATTTCCACGCCCTGATTTCGCACAGTTGATTCTAACAGAGCGCACCCGATTTCCGCTTATCTCCGTGCGTGGTCCATCCATATTTGTCTCTTCGCAAGAGACGCGTGGTTTGCAGGACTACCGCTCATTTAACTCTTGAGCCGTGAAAGAAGTATAATCAATCATTTGAAGGCGAATCACCGGACAGAATTAAAGGGATGAGTAAAGCGCAGAATGCGTAATTCAGTAAACCGTAGATTTCGTAAGACTACTTTTACGTTCAAAATATGTTTTTGCTTTGAATTTTCATCAGGAGAAAATGTATGACTGCTTGATTTCAAAAATACTCCCAACTAATCCCTTCCCCCAACCCCTACCCCAAAAACGACTTGGTGCGTAGAAACGCGGCAAAATTTTCAGGCGTTCAAATTGAGTGACTTGTTACAAAAAGCATCTAGAAATTTAGAATTCGAAACAATTCCTGGGAGCGAAAATCATTCTCTGCTCGGGAAGCATAACTGGACGTGTTTCTGTCAAACGGAACTATATACGAGGGGGAGAGATGGGTACAAAGGAAGCTGGATAAGAAACAATGTTTAGTAGATGTAATTCCCTTTGGATGAATAGAAAAGCGGAATTTTAAATTATATGTCAGACGGATCTATGTGCCAACTGAATGCGGCACTCATGAGCCATGGGCATGCGACAAGAGCGTTGTGGACAGGGCTCATGAGTTAAAAACTCCCAAAACGGAGCCGCGCCGGCGGTTTCGTCACCGCTGACGTCACTAGCGCTTTATAAATCCCATTCATTCTTACGACCCTCGACTAAAGAGCACACCCCTTCTTTTCCACCTATCTCTGGTTTCGTTCGGCAGATATGTTCAACTATTCTGTGAGTCTGTAATGTCTTTCCACCAAACGAAACTCGAAAGGATTTCCACCGATGTTGTAGATTTAACAGACCTAACATCATTTCTTGACCTTTTCAATGGAGCTTGTAGTAATCATCCATGAAATGTTCGCAGCCAATAATTTTTTTTTATTGGAGCCTCCTCAGTGCTCAAATAAAACTGCCACATTTTTGCTTTCAAATGTCAAGGGCCAAAAAATTTGTGAGCTCCTCGAGACGGCTAAGAGAATTAGATACCAACGGTTCAAGAGTTTCCGGTAAATAAATCTTCCTTCCTCTAATTTTAGAGTAAAATTTCCCAGGCGTAGAACAAAACAACCGAAATTTTTCTCCACATTAATTGCCTAAATTCTCTCGTGATGTTCATCTATTAAACGCACATTTCCATTAGTGAATTCACATGACATTCTTCAACTGAGAAAAACGTTTGTTTAAACAGATGGGTGTGCAATGAGCGCTCCTCCCATCTCAATTCTTATTGTACTGTACTGCATTGCTACGGTAGAACGCCGTATGAGTGTTCGAGAGTTGCCAAATTTCCTTCAATAAAATGTTCATATTTGAAGAGAGTTACGAATCTTTTCCCTTGAAATTTTTAGAACTTTTTGGTGAAATTGCGAGCAAAATTATTTGAAAAATTGGAAGAAAAATATTCATAAGTTCACCAGGAAATTTATGTTTTATCGAAGCAAATTTGGCGACGCCTGAAGGTTCATACGGCGTTCTTCCTTAGTACGGTAGTGTAGTGACAAGAAAAATACCAACTGTTCCAAAAGAGAGACTTTTCCTTTCTGCTCGCAACCCGGCTTCGATCCCAGCAAGTTCGTGTAAGCTTTGCAATAACACTAAAATTGTGCGACTGAATGCATAATTCGCTACTGAACGATTGGTATAAGCTGTATGTTACCCTTTTCCTACCCTCCCCCCTTCCCAAAATGAAAAAAAAAACCCTGCATCTTCATTCATTTCGTTATCAGAGTAACTATACTGCTTGTTCATTTGGTGTGCTACAAATCACGGACAGAGGTCTACAATTTTAGCAGCATTGTAAAGCCAACACGCGAGTTCCATCATAACTCTTCAATTTTGACTGTCCCTAAGAGGAAATGGACCCATTGACTTTGGCCTATGCAGGAAAAATTTAAAGAGGGGCTATTTTTGTGTTCGGTCGAAAAATTTTATTTTACGTCACATTTCAGTATTAAATTGTCTTTGTGGTGTCCGAGGATATGAATACCGAGGGGTTTCGTCCTTTTTCGACTCAAAATAAGATGTACGATCGTATCATGAGCCGGAAATGACGTAAACTGGATAGAGCATTTCAAAATTATACGTATTTATGCTAGCTGAGGAAAAATATGAGCATAAGGTTTGGGTGCTACATAATTCATTTTGCTTTAAATACGTTTAATTTTAAACAGCATTTTCTCAGAGTGTTTCATTGGTTTTCCTCTGAAATTTTCTTCAGAGAACACCCCTTAAAATGTAAGATGAGGCAAAATAAACATTTGCAGTTTCAGTCAAAAATTTTCCATCGCGACCTCTCGCTCGTTCCGCCGGTGCCAATTTTCCAACTTGTCGAAAAACGGAAAAGCCATTGAAATTTGAAAACTTACTTGCGCAAGCGACCGTTGAAGTACATCCACGACAGGCGGGTCCGCACACAAGTCACACAATACAACGCGAGGTACTGATTTTTTTTATCACTGATTGTTTCACCTGGGGGCACTGATTGGGCTGGCGTTAACGCTGACTTAAGCACGCGCGACTTTGGAGCTTTCCGAAAATCAGGCGAAAAAACAGCCGAGACTGCGCACGAACACACATAACCTCAGAAACGACGGCGCACTGGCCGTTGGGGCCCCTAAATTGCCTCTCAGGAGGCTCAGTACTCAGTCGAGAGCCGTTGAGAACAGCTGCCCGGGCGTTCGCTCTCCTTTGCGCAGTCCTCCTTCTCCCTCCCGCTCTCTCTCCCTCTCTCCCTTTCTCTAGCGTTCTTTGAGCCCTGTCAAGCAAGTCTCTCTGTCTAACTGCACCTCTTCATCTGGCCCCCTCTCGTGATCTGATTCCACCGTTGCCTGTTTTCGGTCGAAACCACTCAACGGTCTTCAGGTGAACTGTCCTGAGCGATGGTTGTGGTCCAACTTGCGTGCAATAGATCGTATTCGATACATCAAACGGGCGAGATTGTATCGATATCGATTGGTTCAAAACATAAACGTAGCCTCAAAAGTCGATTGAGAAATCTGACGGAACGGGATTCTAGTGATAAATTTTTGATTCATATGAGTACTAATTGGCCAAAAGTAGTGAATTTGCTACGAAATTTCTCATTTTCAGCTTTTCTGACAAATATCTCAAAATTTTGGTTTAAGGTTATGTTCTATTGTTTTGAACCAAACGATATATCGAATCGCTATTGAATACGATCCATATAGCGCATCGATGAGGTTACAAATTTCTCGAAAATTTCGGCGTTAAAGTTCTGAATCCACGATCAAAATTATTCGATTGACGTGGGGCACTGATGTGATTGCTGAATGATTTTCAGCAGAATGTGCCAGGATCACTCAAGTGCGGAGTGAACAAGGCCTCTAGAATTTTTTCAGATTTTTTTACCCTAAACGGCAAATAAATCCCGCCTTAAAAACGCCAAAAATGGAACCCGTTAGAAACGATATTTTTGGTGGGCTCTAGAAACGTAGCTTGGCTACGTTCGCTGATTGACTGAACTCAGCCCCGGTGGAAAATTCGTGTGATTCTAAATTCAAACTGACTCAAAATCGATAAATTCCATTGGGGCCCTCGAGGATCCAGGTGAAGGCCTCCGATGCCTCTAGGGATTTCAAGGTGGACCCAAAGCTCAAAATTCGAAAAGTGAAAAAAAAGGGAGTGACATTTTTGATACCATTGAAGCAGAAGAAGAGGGCCGGGGCCCACCAGAAAATAGCAGGTTTGAAAAAAAGAGACAACATTTCCAGTGGTCGAGAGCTCATGAGCCCTACGGAGATGCATGTTATGCAACTGGTAGCACTGGTTTTCACGGCATTCTACGTAAGAAAAACTATGTTATTACCCTGCAAAAATCCGCCTGAGCCTATAAGCTTCTCCGCAATAATAAAGTTACGAAATTCCAATAACTTAAAACAGTATTCGGCTACAAGAGTAGTGGTAGCCAAATCATATTTAATTTTATAGAATTGTGTTACTTTTTCACTGCAATGGTGCCTTTCGTTTCAAGTGGATTTTTTCAGATTTATAGTATAGTTTTTCTTAAATAGAATTTCGTAAGAAAAAAAAAAAAAAAAAAAAAAAAAAAAAAAATCATTAAAAAGTTCAAAAAATCATTAAAAAGTTCAAAAAATCATCACGAGGGGGCGAGAAAGCTCGGAAAAAATCGAAGCCGATTAATCAAAAGCCACAAGTCCAGTTGACATAGTAAGGCGATTCCTTGTGAACTTTGCGGACACTTCAATTCCCGACGAGAGGAAAAAATGTTGAGTAGGGTGAACTCAGCAGTTAGCCCATCAAGCACTTTCATGTATTGCAATAAAAATTTCTCGTGTGAATACTCAATTACTCACAAATTGCCGGAATGCCTTAAATTCCAGGATAGGTTTTGATTGATTGCCAATAATAAATATTACAAATCTTTCAACATCGCAATACCGTCGAAGGAGGCCCGTGGGCCCGATAGATAAAACCACTCGTGCGAGCTCCTTCCGTTGCGATAATCGCAGCTGTTGCGCTTTTGCCGATCCCTTTCATCCCGCTGGAGGGACTACCTGGGCCCACGGCACGGGGCACGGGCCCACCGCAGCGGTGCCGGCCCGCGGGGGAGAGAGAGGGGGGAGGGGGTCCAGGTGTGCGCTGGCTCCCACGCCGGCGCGTGCCGGGTCCTACCTGCCCGGTTTGTTTTCAATTGGATGTATTTATGCTAAAACCGACTATGGTACACGCAAACCTGATGGACATAGTTCCTTTTAACATGAATACGTTCAATTTCGCTACGTGTGCCGAGTGATTCGTGTTCGGTGTTCTCAGGGCGTTTTGCACTGTAACGATAATAATGGTGACGTAACACCCTGTCCTGACGACTCCTTGACCTTGATTCCTGTACACTCCGGAGTGCCTCTGCAGGGAGAGTGACATGCCGCCGTGCTAAGCAAGAACGCAGTATGAGCCTTTAGGCATTGCCGAATTTCTCTTGATAAAATACGAATTTTCTGGGAAAAAGAGGATTCACAGGTGTCTTAAATTTTGTGACCTTCATCTTTAAAATGGTACCACTGGGAAAACTGAGTGCGAAGATATCCTTGGTTTCTAAATTGGACGATTTTTGGAGAAAATATGACAAAATAACCTCATCTGCTAAAATACATGTGTTTAAATGGAAAATTCCGCCACATGACGTCATAAGGCGGCACGTTTTCTCACTTTTAAATCTTTTTTTCTCAAATTTGCCATGTCAGAAAAGAATTATGAATCGTACTGCGAACTCAGCTCATGAAGCACTCTCGAATGAGGTAATAAAATTTTTGGGTGCAAATTCTCCATTAGTGAAACTTTTTCTTCCGATTTTATAGAAAATTGAATAGAGCTCAATGAAAAAAAAACCAAATTTTGGTGACTTTAGGCCTTCGGGCTCAAGTTTGGTCCTTCGTTTGGGAGCCAATTGAGGTGGATATAACCGAAACACTAAAATAGAAAATACACGTCGTTAACTACAAAATATCGAAAAATCTTGGAATTCCTGGAATGGGCCGATTTAGATTGCCTTATCGATAAACCTAGTGTATTTATGAGGTATAAATTGGTTAAGGAAAAAGACGCACTGAGATGGCGGCGCAGAGATACAACTATTCGTGCTTGATGGATGTCCCTGTTGCGTCTACAAAATCGAAGGCGCGATGGCGCGAGGCGTGAACTTTCAATGTTCCGCTCTTTGCTGCCAATTAGGTGTCCCTCAAATTCGGGAGACTTGTTAAAAAACGAAGCCTAAAGAGGACTCTTCTATCTTCGGCTGTGATGCCCACGCAGCCTTTGAAGCATACTACAAATAAGACACATGGAGCCAACATAACATGGATATAGAGCAAAGAAAAAGATGCGCGTTGATGACGGCGCGGAGATACAACTATTCGTGCCTAATGGATATCCGTGTTGCATATCTGCAAAATTGAAGGAGCGACGGCGCGAGGAGTGAACTCGCAATGCTTTGCTCTTCGGTGCCAAAGAGCTGTCACTCAGATTGGTGAGAAAAGTTAAACAACGAGGTGCAATAACGTATTCCCTATCAAAGCACAAATTGTCATGTGTGCTCAGCAAATGGGATTTTTGTTTCGATATTTTATCAAAATTCGGAGTCTTGTATTGAGATGAAATGACTAATTCGATGGTTTCTTCGCAATAATCTCATTCTTGTGCAGGTATCTCTATTTGCAGGTAAGTTGGCCTGTTTTGCTATTTCTAGGAGCTTCTTGAGAGGAAAATTTTATTGATAACACAGTGCGCATTTACCAAGCAATTTGTCGAACACTTGACAAAGTAGTGAGAAAGCTGATCATATCATCGATCTTAATTACTTATTCACATTTATTTCTTTCTTTTCTTCTTTGCTCACTAGATTTTTTTGTTAATGATGCTGAGGCAGAGTTTCCTACGTGAAATTACACAATTTTGTCCATTCTGTCTCATTTGTTTTTCTTTCTCCGCTGAAGTTATCTAATGTTTAAATTTAAAAGGCACCGTGCGCAGAAGCACCAAAATATTTCTTATCGGAACGTAAACATTCACGGTCAGCAACTTTTGAGAGTGCTGAAACCTGGACAGACTTTTTCTATCGATACTAGAATTTATTATGGAAACTCCTCAGATAGGATTCATTTGGGTAACGAAAAGCTTAAGAATCGTGTATTCAGTTAGAAAAAACCCGTTTCTAAGACGCATAAGACATTCGATTCTCAGCGAAAATTATTTCAGAAAGTCAAATATTTTGTCCCCTATAAAACTCGAATGTCCCCTACATATTGTTCAAGATAGAGAGAAACATTTTGAAGCATTTTTGAAACATCTTTCCGCATTTCTGGGTATGATTAAAACTTGGGAGTTATGATATTGGCTACTAATTTCTCTCGTGAGAGATAAAACTTATTCCAAGTATGATTCAAACTCAGGAGTTATTATATTGGCCATTTATTTCTTTCGTGAGCAATGAAACTGATTCCAAGTCAAAATATGAATTCATGCCCCGACTCAATAGCATGCAGAAATGATTGTAGACTGGAAGAGAAGGAAATCTAATTTGACCGATAACTTCTTTTACATACATTAAAACCTTTCATCTTGGAAATAATCTTCATATCATGGAGCAGAAACCAAGAGGCCTCCGTCAGAAGCGAAGTTGAGGCTCTCTGCACTGCGCGAGCATTGAGACGAAGCTCAAAGAATGCTGTAAAAGACTAATGAAGAGCTCTCCTGGGTTTCTTTGCTCTCGCTGAAAACGGAGCAGTTCTTTTGACTGAAATCAAAGCCGCCGTAAAAAGCCGCTCCCTTTTATTCGCTCGAATGAGCTGAGTGGGTACTCCTCGCGAGGTACTCCTCCAAAGATAGTCCTCGATGAATAATCATATTCCCGAGCATTTCTTCAGAGCCCAGGTGCATCTAAATTGCATCCAGATTTCATTTATGCTCATGAATGCCGGAGAAAAAATATGAGGAGGGGTGAGGGTGATGGACGGACTTTCAGTCCATACGCATTTTGTCAATTTTTTACTCTGACCAATGTGAAATTTCGTTCCCACCAAAGACGTCCGGGTATCAGTGGCTGATCCAGAGTGAGTCGGAGGGGTGGGGGAGCCATTTGCTAATGCAGAATGAGTGGGATGTCTGGGGGGACGCCCCTTCCCAGTCAAAGGGGGGTCCCGGGGGGCCTCCCTCAAAAATTATTTTGAAAAAACAGGCCCTTCCAGATTGAATATTAAGAAGTTTCAGCATATAATTTGTGCGTTTTTTGAAAGTCGAAAATTGACGAATTAAACCTTTCCATGTAATTTTATTTTAGTATATGAATTAGGTATTTACTTCTGCGATGTTGAGTAACCTTTAGATAAACTTTGGTCGTACAGTTCTGTTTTGAAAGAATTTTAGTAAATGTTTAAGAAGATCACTTTTTCCCTTCTCTCTCTATTCCTTTTTTGGTCCGAGGGGAAGGGGGTCATAATCAAAGTTTCACACTTAACACTTTGTCAAATGTTCGACAAATTGCTTGGTAAATGCAGTGTGTTATCACTAAAATCTTCCTCTCAAGAAGCTCCTATAAATAGCAAAATATAGGCCAACTTACCTGCAGATAGCGATACCAGCACAAGAATGAGATTATTGCGAAGAAACCATCGAATTAGTCATTTCATCTCAATACAAGATTCCAAATTTTGATAAAATATCTAAACAAAAATCCCATTTGCTGAGCACACATGATAATTTGTGCTTTGATAGGGAATACGTAATTGGACATCGTTGTTTAACTTTTCTCCCCAATCTGAGTGACATCTCATTGGCACCGAAAAGCAGAGCAGTGAGAGTTCACTCCTCGCGCCGTCGCGCCTTCAATTTTGCAGATGCAACACGGACATCCATTAGGCACGAATAGTTGTATCTCTGCGCCGTCATCAACGCGCATCCTTTTCTTTGCTCTGTATTCATGTTATGTTGGCTCCATTTGTCTTATTTGTGGTGGTGCTTCAAAGGCTGCGTGGGCATCACAGCTGAAGATAGAGGAGTCTTTTTTGGGCTTCGTTTTTGAACAAGTCTCCCGAATTTGAGGGACACGTAATTGGCAGCAAAGAGCGGAACATTGAAAGTCCACGCCTTGCGCCATCGCGCCTTCGATTTTGCAGATGCAAAACGGACGTGTATTTTTACGCCGCCATCTGAGCGCGTCTTTTGAACGTTTCTTGAACGGAACGGAGTGTTTTGGATATATAATCTGCACCTTTTTATCAGTGTGGCAGAATACAGGACGAAATCTAAATCGATTAATTTTAAAACATGACTGAGCATTTGGCAATTGATTAACGATCGAAAAGTTCAAGTCGCTGGTCTATGACTAATTGACTTCCAGTGTTATCCGCCGGTCGGAGGCAAAAGTTGCATAAATCACTCGTTCTGCCGATTGAGTTGACTCTTCTTCATCCCATCTGCCCAATTTTAACGTGTCCTCAACTGATACCGACAGCAAGATGAAGTTCGCACTTGTAATACATTTATTTCCGAAATGAACCTATCCAGTGTTAATGTTGCTTTTTTGCAGCATATCAGGATCAAGTTATCTTTAAGGTAAATGTATACTGATAGGAAGGATGAAACATCAAAATATCGAACATTTGTTGCTTATTTACTGGTTTTCCTTTGAAGTTTTGGCTGGAAACGGATCCATTAAACCTGAGAGCACAATTCAGCCGTCAACTCCCAAAACCCCTATTTGTAATACCTGAATTGGATTGCATTTTGCAAAAAGGAACCAGAAGCATTTCAATGATGCATGCTTGTGCAACTTCATCCTTTGCAATAAAATTACTGAAATCATGAAAAAATATGAAATTTACATGGTAATTTTTGTCTTAAATTTACAGTTTTTAGCGGGTAAAATAGAAACTGTTAATGGATAATCAGGTTTTTCTTCCAAGACGAAAGAAGCTGCACAATCTTAGCAACATTGCAAATGCTCCTGGTTCCTTCTTGCAAAATGCAATCCAATTAAGGTTGAAAGTATGTAAACAAACGCAAAAATTAATTATCTGAGTATGAATGACACTTGCAAAATATCAAAGTAGAAATTTTATTTATTTACACAAAAATTACAGACTGCGTAACATCATCAATATAAAAAGACTTGACATAAATTTCACGTCAAAATGGTGCCTTCCATCGAGCATTACTTTCGTGTTGAAGTATTCAATCACAAGTAAAATAATTATAGGCAATAGCAGATATATCGATTAAAAGTTGTCATAATGTGGGAAATCCAGAATGTTAAATCAACTCTAGATTGCTGCATCGCTGTCATCATTTTCTTTCGTTAGTGTAAATGCATATTTTAGTGTTCAAGATTCTCAAAGATGGCACATACAATCTGTTTACTTGTTCAGTTCATTTATACAGAACTAGTATTATTTTAAAAGTTTAGCACCTCTTTTGTAGATATCCGTAATGATTATGCAAATTAATGATGCTACATTTAACAAACTTTTCTTGGTAACATTAATTTTAGGGATGCTTTCGTGAAATGACTTTAAACGCCAATCGTCCAAATTGACTTTGAAGAAACCAGGTATTTTGAGTTTGGATGTATTGCATTTTATGAGTTCCAACTTGACCATTTTTAAAAAATCTGATCGGTAGGAAACACTTATTTAGGAACCGTTCAAGCATTAAATGGAGCATTTTGACCGACTTTGTGACTCTCTCTCCCCTCCTTGTCATAGGCGGATCCAGGACATCGGCAACGTTGTTTTTCTCCATTTAAACCAATGGAAATGTATCAATTCTCGGAGGGGCCAGGTGCTGTGACAAGAATCGATTCTTTAACAAAGGTTTTAAATGGAGGGAATCCAGTGTTGCTAAGTAGCTGGATCCGCCTCTGTCTACAAAGTCGCAAATCGAGGTACGTAATTTTGGAGTTTCACTATCGAGCTACATTCCCATGTCTAGGTAACGACGATAGGTACGGTGCCAGTTAAAAACTATTGTACATATGTCTTATAATCAACAAATTTTTCGTTCGAAAATTTAAAAATATACTACTGCTAGATTCAGACGCGTCTGGATCGTCCGAAATTCCTATTTCTAGGGGGTGGCGCTGGGGCCTCCTCTGGGACCTCCTCGACGTAGGCCGGAGTGGTAGAGGAAAAGCTTGAGCGGCCCCTGGCCCCGGAAAACCTCCTATTGACAGTCGTCTTCTCGCTTTCGCTTCCAGCCTGGTCGGGCTCCTCCGGGCTCTGGGACCGGCTCCTGCCGTTGTAGGCGCGGCTGGGCTTCTTGGCGCGGGGCGCGGGGGCGGCTGCAGCGGCAGCGGGGGCGCTCGTCGTGGAGGGCGCCGCGAACTGGGGTCCGGCGGCCACCTTCTCAGCCCGGCGCCTCTTCAGCGTCTCCAGGAGGTCCTGGTTGCTCCGGAACGGGCGCACGATGCCGTTGCCGATCTTCTTGGAAGCTTCTGTTGTTGAGGTTGTCGATGATTGAGAGGCTTCGTCTTCGTATTCTTTCGGCGCTTGGTCATCCTCGTATTCTGGTTCTTGTTCCGGCTCTGACTTCACCTCCTGTTCAGACAAAATTACGAATCAAAGTTAAGGTGATTCGATGGACGCCATATTTGGTGTCAGAACGGCTTGCGATATATCGCATCAATTGGTTCCATTTTTTCAGCTACTCGTCATTTTCCTCCGATTTTGAGATCGCAATTCTGTTGTCAGGAGACTAAAACACTCACTTACCAATTTCAACAAAGAAATCCATCGCAATAAAGGCGTGGTTTTTTCGGAGAGAAAACATCGCATTCGATGAATTTCTTTATTAAAATTGGTAAGTGAGTGCTTTAGTCTCCTGACAACAGAATTGCGATCTCAAAATTTGAAAAAAATGACAAGTAACTGAAAAAATGGAGCCAATTGATGTGTTCATCGAATCACCTTAATGTCGGCTTAATAAAACACACAGAGAGGAAAAAACTTCTGTTAAATTGACTGTGCGGATTAAAGCAAGATCGGTATGGAGAAATTGCAGTTGACCGAAATTCGATGAATTTCTTGTAAAGGTGGCATTGTGGCAATTGCTTAGTGAAGTGATCATGAGGATATCCTTGGTTCATAAATCGAACAATTATTGGAAAAGATATGACAAAATTATCTAAGCTGTTAAAATTCATGTGTTTTTAAATGGAAAATGCCTCCAGGTGACGTCACTAAGGTCCAGTTACACGATCAAATTGAGCCATCAAATAGGGCCTCTCATTGGTCGCATCCTCACCTCAGGTCTTTTTCCACCAATCAGAGCTTCAATTTGATGGCTCAATTTGATCGTGTAACTGGACTAGGCGGTGCATCCTCTTATTATTAACTCTATTTTCATATCATTTCCCACAACAGAAAAACGTTATGAAAGAATTACGAAATCAGCTTTATCTGCAGCACTCTCAGATGAAGCATTAACAAATTTGCGTGCAAATTCTCCATTGAATGATAGATCCGTTTCACGCAAGAGATACGGCCGTGTGAAGAGGCTCTAGTTCATTATGGCCCATTCAAATTTTCAGTTTACATGATCAAAATTTTTAATATAAAAAAATTGATTCATTCTGCGGTATTTGCGATCAAAGCTGTGCCCACTGACATCACATTTGAAAATGACGCGTAGAATGGATGTGAAGAGTTAACTCGAACTCACCTTATGTTTTTTGTGATAGTAAAGAAGTTTCTACAAACAAATCGTCGTATCGTGGGCTCAACGTTGGCTGACGGCGAAAAAGCGAACTATTACATACAGTCACTTACTCGAGTCGTTCACGCGCGCCTGTGTATCAGAGGAGCGCATAAGTGTATAGCGTGTAGTCTGTTAAACATTTGCGGGCGTTCCCCCTAGCGGAAAGTTTGAAATACCGCAGTCGTGGTTAGTTTGTCTTTTTTTATTTGTACATATTATGCGTTCTATCTTTCAAAAGGAGAGTATGGATTCGATCGACATGAATCGATCGCAAGATGAATATGTGAATCGATCGACACCAATTTAATCGACAAAATATTAAAAACCCGGCGTTGATTGGATTGATATGAATCAATCAAAAATATAAAACGTGAACCGATCGACGTGATTTGATTGAAAACCCGTGAATCGATCGAATTTCGTCGATAAAATTGTTGTCGATCGAATCACGTTGATCGGTTCACGCTTTAACTTTTCTTTCAATTCATGTCGATCGAGTCGTCACCGGTTTTTTCATAATTTGTCGATCAAATCGGTATCGATTGATTCACGTTTTCATTTTTCGATTGATTCAAGTCGATAGAATCCATACCCTCCCTTTCGGAACGCAGCGGTCTCATTATTTTAAAATGGACGTATTTTTGCCAAAAGGAACTATGTTCATAGGTTTGCGTGAGACATAGTTCCTTTCAGCATAAATACGTCCAAACAAGCAACAGCACTGAAAAAAAATTCTCGGCGTTTTTACTAAGGTCCGTTGGTACCTTTACCATCTCACTTTTTTACAAATTATTGGTAATTTTACCAAGACAGACCGGTAAGCTTACCTCAAAACCGGTATTTTTACTGTTTTTTTTTCAGGTAAGAATACCACTTTTATTGGTAAGCAATTCCCGGTAACTTTGCCATTTTATCTCGGTAATTCTACCACAGTCGATAAAAAATATTGGCGTTTTTACGAAGGTCCAGTAAAATTACCGAGGAAGTTCAATAACTTTACCGAGATTTCTCGGTAAAATTACCAATTCCATAAATGGTAATTTTACCAAGAAAAAACTGGGATCAAATAGAACCCTGAATTCTTGGTAATTTTACCCTTTTCTTAGTAAATACACCGAGATTTTTTTTTCAGTGAGCCACGAGCATTAAATTCAGCGATAATGACTAGAGAAGTTGTTTTGCACCACAACTTTTATCTGTACATACCGGTGGAGGAGTTGTGGTCTTTTTGGTAGGAACAGGGATACTCTTGCTTGATTTTAGTGGATTTGGCTTGACTGGTTTAAATGCTTGAACAGGGACCTCCTCCAAATCATCCTCCACGGCGGTTCTTGCCCATGCCACGGTCAGGCATATTAACTGGAATCTGCAAACAAATTTAAAGTAAATAAATTAATTGTTTCGCCAGTTATTAGGTTTTTTTCTTTTTTCATTTCATGAATTGTCTCAAGGAAGCATGTATTACGTAAAACATTGTGGCCAACTTTTTGACCCCTCTTTTCCTTCTGACCTACCCGTAAGATAACTTGTCATCCCCCTTTGGAATGGGTTAGTTGCGCTGGTCACAGAATCGTGTTTTGATGCTTGTATCTTTTTAAGATTAGCTAAAAATAATAAGATCCATCCAAACAGCAACTTTCTACGTTCAATATCAACCGAGACATCGCCCTTTGAAAAGTCGGGTTTTTGACGTCATCAACCGCGGAAATGACACCCTTGGTTTCTTCCACCCTGCATTCATCCGAGATTCACGTTGAGTAACCAGTGCAAATGTGCATGACACCGACTGAACTCGAAGTCTTGTAGACGCCAATATGCGTTTTCGAGCCAACTGACCGACTACACAGCTTTCAGCGCAATGCGAGAAGTATCCATGCAGTCTTGTAGGCGCTAATACGCGGTTCATGCCGACAGCACTGTTTGGCGCAATGCGTGAAGTGTTCCCACAGTCTTGCAGGCGCTAATATCATTCATTCGAGTTTCACGTTGTGTAACCGGTGCTAATGTGCGTCGCACCGACTGATGAAAACAAGGCGGAAGAAAGCAAGGGTGTTACTACCGCAGTGGATGACGCCAAAAACCCGACTTTTCAATGGGAGATATCTCGATTAATATTGAACATAGAAAGTTGCTATTTAGACGGATCTTATTAATTTTAGCTAATCTACAAGAACCAAGCACCAGAACACGATTCTGTGACCAGCGCAACTGACCCATTAAGTGAAATTGATCTTACCTCACATCCTCTCTCCCTGAAAAAAATCCTCTTAAAAATAGCTAGAATTGCTAGAAAATATTATTGGCCTTGACCCTCCTCCACCCCCCTTGCGTGACCCCATAAGGCAAGCTCATACCCTTCAACTTCTTATGCAGCTTACGTAACACTTAAAGGGCCTTCACAGTTTAAAGGAAACTATCATAGATGAAAAAACTATCTAGATCAAAATTTCACTCGAAATTCTGAGTACGTAGTTTGTTTCCTCTAGATTTTGAAACCTAAAATAATGCAATTATTTGAAAGTTTGGGAAGTTAAAAGTTTGGATAGTCTTTTTTTCTTCTTCTTTTTGTTGAAATATAGTCATTTTGTAAAATTCTGTGCAGAGGCCTCTTGCTTTTTATAACTAGGACACTAGAGAGATCGTAGGATTGAAAGTAAATATATCAGAGGAAAACAATCACGATATTAATTTTTGTATTTATTTTTTTTATCCTTTTTTTTACGTTTCAGTATGAGTCTCTTAAAAGAGGAGGAATTCAATAAAATTTACTTGCAAGGATGGAAAAAAATGGATGTCTGTCTTTCATGGTACACTGAGAGCGAACGGAGCAAACATTTGACTTTTTTAATTTTTCTATATGTATGTAGTTTCTTTAGTCGTCTTGAAAATCAGAATTAACCCTGAAGTAATCGTAACTGCCATTGAATCAAGTCCTTAGCACATTCTTTATTGTGACTTTCATGGACCACAAAAAGCGCCTTCAGAGTATGCGATATGCTGCATCATAACTTGTTGCAGACACTACTCTTTGTAGGCGTTTCATACGAGGTAGTGAAGCGACCGCAAGCCAAACCTTTCGCACCGCATCGAACGCCGGAACGATGAAGATTTTTATTTAGAAGACAGCCAGTGGGTAATTTGAAGGAGCCCAACTTATCACTCAAAACTCAGTTTTACCATTACATTGCACTATTGCAGATATTGTACCTTACGTAGTTTAAAGATTAAAGTCAGACTTTCATTTTGGATGAAAAATGCGCTGATAGAAAGCTCATTAATAAATTCAAACATGTTTTTTCACAAATAAAAACGTTTTTGAAAAACGTATTTAGACTTGAAAAAAGAAAGCGATGATCTTACACAGTGTATCCATGATTTTAACTCAGCCACCTAAAACGGCATTGTATCATGAATTGAAGGGGAGGTGTAGATTTGAGTGATTTAGGCAAGTTTACAAAATCTTCTAACTCTATTTCATTTGTAGCTATCGAATAGAGTTCTGGAACGTCTGGTCCAGCCTCACCTTAACCCACCTAGCCAAATAAAGGAGGCCTCAATGTGGCAAGAAATGATTCTCTGATATCATATTTTAGAGTAGCAATATTTCAACATCTAGGATGTTATTTGATTAACTTAAAACTTTTTTGAAACCTGATTATATAGCACTTACTTTCTTATTGTTCTCTACGCACTATGACAATGAGATGAGAATATATATGAACAATAAGGAAGTAAGTGTCATATAATCGGTTTTCAAAAAAGTTTTAAGTTAATCAAATAATTTGTGTAGTGCCGATAAAATTTTAAAAAAATCTGTAATATGCAACAACATAGTGATCTAGGATGTATTCCGAAATTTTTTATCTCTCAAAATCCTTTTTGCAGATGATGTCCTACCCCATGTGCTGCTCAAAGGGAGCCTCCCCCCCCCCTCGCGACCTCCCCACTCTGCCCACGCTATGCCACTGGTGTTACTACCCTACTACTATTCACAAGGAAAAGTCGGTTCCGCGGGATGCAAAGTTCCCACTTGTGGCCGAAAGGCTATAGATGGGTGTTTTATTTGTCTATGAGCCTCGACCGGTGCTTCGTATGCAAGATGGCGAGTGCTCTACATCTGGTCAGGTCCGATTCTCTGGCGAGGTGTCAGCATTGCGAAGGCTCGTCGTGGCGCTGAATTTCGGCCAACCACACTAGACACCAGGCTACACGACATCGATCAAGTTTTGGCCGCAGAGTCCTATTGCCTCAGCCTAGTGTTGCCTGATCAACCGTCGGACTTTTTTCCGCTCATTACCATGCTAGACACGGTTAAAGCTCGGGACCCCCAAAAGAGGCGGGAGTAAGCAAACATCGAGATAACCGACAAATTGTGCTATCCCAGATAAGACAGAAATATTTAGCCAATATTTAAACAATATTGTTTTGATATTTTTTGCAAAAATTGGGCCAATATTAGTTAAATATTAAGCCAATGTTAAAAGTGCACACCATATTTCCAGACATGAATACTGTGCCAATACTTCAAAATACTGTGAAATACTGTGAAAATATTTTTATAATATTTTTGGTAAACTTATTATTTTTAAAAATACTAAATAAAGATTCTTTAAATATTTTTTAGAAAAATAATTTTGATTAAAATATTATCAAAATATTGTCAGTATTGTGTAAATATTGCGACAATACTGACAATATTTGCCCAATATTGTAAAAATATTATGTCTTATCGGGGATGGTAATGGCTTCTTTTTTAATCTTCGCCATAAACTAATCCTTAGCGTTTAGAAGCAGAATATAAAAAAATAAATATACTTTAGGATTATCACTTGCGTTCTTAATTTATTATCTTCACAGACCGAAGGCCGTATTAATAGTCGTTAATTAAACAACTCCTTTCATCTGCGGAGGTCCTATATGGTTTACATAGTATTTAAAGGAGATTCAAATAGATTCTTGATATAGAATCATAAGAATGACAATTTCTGCCAATTTTGAGTTAAATTCAGCGGTATACTTTTAAAACTGAGTCGTTGCAAGGGATTAAAACGATTTTCCGCTGCAATCAAAAAAAAAAAAAAAAAAAAAAAAAAAAAAAAAAAAAAAAAAAAATACGAAGGATAAAATTCTATGATTTTGACAAACTTTAAGGCAGGTACGAACCTACATTAAAAATTGAACACAAAAATTACACATTGCTATTATTATGCTAAACATTCAAAACAATTAACATATTTGCCTTTTGTATTTTTTGCAATGGCAAATCCTTGTAATGCCTTGTAAGGACTCATTTTCAAAGTTATACTGCTGAACTTCAATTAAGGTTTGCAAAACTTGCCTTTGTTGTGATGCTATACTAAGGGCCTCCTTGAACCTCCCTTAATCCTTTGGACGTATTTCTGTCAAACGGAACTATGTGCATTATGACGTGAGCCCTGTTAGTTATGCATATATTATTATGGGTCTCAGGGCTGATGTCTTGATGCACATAGTTCCGTTTGACAGATATACGTCCAATTCAAACCCTATGGGGCTTCCTAAGGTAAAGAGCTGTTTAAGGAACGACTTTAAATAGACTGCATTTTGCAATTTGGTACTACAATTTCTGGCTCATCCGTAAAAATACTTATGTGCACAGGGACATTAATGGCACATACGTTGTTTCTAAAATAAGCTAGAATTTATAGCTCCTAATTGCAAAATGCAGTCCTAATATGGCTCTCGATGAGGAACTTAGTTGCATTCTATTTGATGAAAGTGGCCGATAGACGGAGATTTTGCCCCGGCAACTTGACAACGTGGGTCGTGTAAAAGACAGCGTAGCGCCCCCGGCTGGGAGTTCTTGCGTTCTGGTGCGGTTTAACGCCAGCTTTGTAATCGGTAAATTGAATCTATGAATGCAATATGAGGTTTTGGTTATAGCCCTTTGTTCCTCCTTCCTGAAAGCTCCACTCACTCATTCCGTAACCAAGACTCGGTACCCCACTCGGATGCTAAACTTACACAATTTTACTGCGGACGTTTAACAGGACTCATTGCATGGATTATATTGCACCTGACCTAGGCGCCGTCATCAATTTTTATTATCCGACAGCTTAAAATTCGAACTTACTCGCTCCAAATTGCGTTTATTATGTGTAAAATAGGGGTGTTATTTGTGCAATTTTACATTTTTATTGAAACCAGTGCCTGTGTTTAAACTGAGGATGAATGCTTTCAAAGCAATGAAGCAGTTGTAGGTGTCTACTCATAAAATTTGATGAATTTAAGTTGTGAATGGCAAATACGAAGTGAACTGAGCAAAACCATATTCTCGGTGTCTAAATTGAACACAATTGTTAGTGGTGCTGCAACATCAAAGCTTTC